GGGGGGCGGAACACCCCACAAAACAACTTTAACTGCATCCCGTTCAGCATCACCCCCCCCCAGAAAAAAAAAAAAAAAAAAAAAAAACGAGCTGAGGAGGCTGGTTGGAGGTCCTCATGAAACACTGTGGCTTCATTCTTGACTGGTTCTAGCTCAGCAGTTCTGGGTCTTTGCTGGAATTTTTGTTTCATGAAGCTTCAGATGTTGGTGAGAGGTCTGGACTATGGAGCCAGACTCTTGTGGGCCATGAAGCCATGATGCTGAACGGGATGCAGTTAAAGCATCATCTTGCTGAAATCTGCAAGGCCTTCCCTGAAAATACGTCTGAATGGGAGCAGATGTTCTGACACCTGTTCATGCCTTTGTACTGCATTGTTGGAGCCTTCATGTGAAAGCTGCCAATTACAAAGGCACTAATGCACCCCTATATCATCGGAGAGGTAAGCTTTTGGACTGAGTGCTGATAAGTAGCTGGATGGTCCCTGAATGTTACATTGTGGTCCTGGAAGATGACTTTATGTTCACATCTGGCTTCTGCTTTGCCTGATAGAGCTTTAAGCATCATTTGTGGATGGACTGTGTTCCTGAGCCCAGAGCAGAACCAGACCTGGTTTTAAAGCAGTGGGCCCTGAGGACCCAAAGATCACTTCAGACTCTTCTTTTGAGCTCAGATCTTTCTAATGATTCTTCTAATCTACTGATGGGATTATGAGCTGGAGATGATGGAGATTAAAGTCTTCCAGTGCCTGTTGAGCAACTTTGATCTGAAATGGTTAAAATATTTTAGACCCAGTTTTTATTGGCTCGTCGAAGGTGGGTCATAATGAGGTACAGTCCGTAAACTTTGTCTTGTCCGGACCAGAACTTCATGCATAACCTGTTCACGGAGTGTCACGTACACTTTTCATCATTTCAGCTCCAAGGTCACAAATCAAGGTGAAATGCTACACAAGGTGCTATACATTCTGTTCACAGCCTGCTGAACCTCTCTGCCCATGATTACTTCAGACACAGCCTCTGAGGGCTTCTTTATGCCCACTCCTCTGCTTCTCTTTTTGGACCATGTTCTGTTTTTGTTGTCCCTCTTCCAGTTTTTGAAGATAAGTTGCTGCCGTAACATTCAAAATAAGCTTTATATTGTCCTAAATATGGTGCAGTTTCTTAGTTCAAGCGTTTGATGTGGTACTTTGTTTTGCTGAGAATAAAACATGAATTGTGGGATTCTGATTTAATTGACGTTTTGCTCATGGCTTTTTGAACTGAGGATGTATTTTCTAGTCGGCTCCTTAAGTTCTGGTCCAACATTTGCCACTTGCAGACGCCATTTGAGATATGGAGAGGCAAAACATGAAATTAATTTACAAGCCACTTTTACATTTTTGTATTATTTAGCTACTATGACATGCTTTATTTGAAACTAGTGCAAGAAGCATCTGGTAGATTTGGATGTTCACTTTCCTCCCTGCCCCATTTGGGCCAGTTTACCAACAAACTGCTCAGCTCAGCGGCCAGTCTGCAGTGGTAACGTGTGGACCATCGTTTCTTCAGCTGTCCATCTTGTAAATGTATTTGTAGCTATTTTGCTTTCAAAGTCCAAAGTTTTTGGGGAAAATATTTAAATAAACATTTAATGTGATTTATTAAATTTGTTGTATTTAGTTTATCTCAGTCAGTTTCTTTATTGCCGTTACACAGGGTCCCAGTTACATCCAATAATAAAATGTAAAATAAAAACTAATGACATCTAAGATACGAACTAAGAAAAACATTAACTAAATAAACACTAAGCACTAATAGCATAAAAACATTACACTGATCTAACTGAAGAGTATCGTCCTGCAGGTTCTGTGATGGATGCTGCTAAACACCATCCATCGTCTTTACCGCTTCTTCCTTTTTGAGTCATGGGGGTCACTGGTGCCCATACTGGTGTCCAGCAGTCACTGTGAGAGGCGGGGGACACCTGGACAGGTCTCCAGTCCGTCACAGGGACATACAGAGACAAACGAGACAACCATTCACTCTCTCACCTAGAGACAATTTAGAGTTACTAATCAGCCCAACATGCATGTTTTTGGTCTGTGGGAGGAAACTGGAGTACCTGGAGAAAAGTCACGCATGCACGGAGAGAACATGCAAACTCCACTCAGAAAGGCCCCCAGACCGGGATTTGAACCCGGGCAACCTGCTCGCTGAGAGGCAGCAGCTCAACCAGTTGCACCACCGTGCTGCCCACAGTAAACGCCAACAATCTAAAACAATATGGCTTAACAACAGCAGCTCGAACATGAGTCTGTGGTGAGCAGATTGGTATGAACGAACAGCAGTATGAGATAATCAGCAGCACGAGATAAGACATATCACCAATTAAAGTGGCATTGCAGTGTTTGTTTTTTTCTGCAGTGTGTAATGCTGCAAACGTTAAGAGCTATCATAATTAACAAAGTAAAATACTAAATATGACATTTTATTTAACAAATTTCTAGACATGAAGCTTTTCACAAGAAAACTTTAGGATCAGTGAAGTATGCTCAGATGTCCCCCGTCACTGATGGTTTGAACAGTGAATAACAGGCATTTTGGGTTTTCATGAGCTGTATGCCATAATCATCAGTATTAAAACAATTAAAGACCTGAAATATTTCAGTTGGTGTGCAATGAATCTGAAATATATGAAAGTTTCATTTTTATCATTACATTATGGAAAATAATGACCTTTATCACAATATGCTAATTTTTTTAGAAGGACCTGAACACTGATAGGACACACATCAGAGGCTATGAGGGGTTCAGTGTCTTGCCCAGGGACACTTTGACATTTGACTGCTGGTGGATTTGAACCCCAACTCTCACATTGGAGGACGATTGCTCTAACCACTCAGCCACAGCCGCCCCCAAGACATGCTGTAGCTGCAGGTCCACAGTCTGCTCTGTCAACCGTTACAAGTTGCTGATTACAAGATTTCTGGAATCCGCTGAACCAGAACCAAAAGGTTTTGAGGCCTCAGTGGGTCAGCACCAGTCCTCTATGTGCTACTTCATATTCAAACAAGTAAATCCATCAAATATATATTGATCAACGAGTTATCATCAAATAATCAAATTCTGAAGTTTAAATCCATCCATGACGGTGACAGGTGCTGAGGTGTTACATGAGGACATCTGGAGTGGAAGTATGTTAGACAGGACATGTATGAGGACAACAGGGCATGTATGAGGACAGCAAGACATATATGAGGATAGCAGGACATGTTAGACTGGTACAAGACATATATGAGGACAACATGCCATGTTAGACTGGTACAAGACATATATGAGAACAGCTGGACATGTTAGACTGGTACAAGACATATTTGAGGACAGCAGGGCATGTTAGACTGGTACAAGACATATATGAGGACAGCAGGACATGTTAGACTGGTACAAGACATATGAGGACAGCAGGACATGTTAGACTGGTACAAGACATATATGAGGACAGCAGGACATGTTAGACTGGTATAGGACATGTATAAGGACAGCAGGACATGTATGACTGGTAAAGGACATGTATGAGGACAGCAGGACATTTATGAGAACAGCAATACATGTATGAGGACAGCAAGACATGTTAGACTGGTATTGGACATATATGAGGACAGCTTGACATGATAGACTGGTACAGGACATGTATGAGTACAGCAGGACATGTATGAGGACAGCAATACATGTATGAGGACAGCAAGACATGTTAGACTGATATAGGACATGTATGAGGACAGCAGGACTTGTATGAGGACAGCAACACATGTATGAGGACAGCAGGACATGTATGAGGACAGCAAGACATATATGTGGACAGCAAGACATATTTGAGGAGAGCAGGTCATGTTAGACTGGTACAAGACATACAGTGCCTTGCAAAAGTATTCGGCCCCCTTGAACTTTTCAACCTTTTGCCACATTTCAGGCTTCAAACATAAAGATATAAAATTAAAAATTTTTTGTGAAGAATCAACAGCAACTTGGCTACAAGCATGAAGTGGAATGAAATTTATTGGATGTGTCAAACTTTTTTAACAAATAAAAAAATTGAAAAGTGGGGCGTGCAATATTATTCGGCCCCTTTACTTTCAGTGCAGCAAACTCACTCCAGAAATTCAGTGAGGATATATGAATGATCCAATGTTGTCCCAAATGACTGATTGTTACGGCCTGAGGCCATTTGGTTGAGCAAAAGTGTTTGCAGGTTGATTGCTGACTCAG